TCTGGAAGGCAGGTAGATGAATCTCTGGTTCATTATATTTCTTTCTCCCTTAATTAATTCACTTTTTGTCAACTTCTACTCCAGCGAAGAGAAGGACGAGGGGAGACAGGAGAGCAGCCTTCCAAGTGTTTGATGGGCTGCCACAAAGAAGGGGGGGGGGGTTCAACCTATTTTCCATAGCACCTGAATTTGCAGGAGAAGAAGCATTGGATGGAAACTTATCAAGCAGAGAAGCAATCTAAAACTAATTTCCTAACAGTGAGAACAATTAATCAGTGGAACGGCTTGCCTCCAGAAGTTGTGGATGCTGCATCACTGGAGGTTTTTAAGAGATATTGGACAACTGTTTGAAATGGTAAAGGGCAGGGGGTTGGACTAGAAGACCTCTCAGGTCCCTTCCAAATCTGCTATTCTGTTAGTCTTTTCAGTCTGGCTGATTGCTGCACTTTTGAGCAATTCCAAACATTTCTACAGAAACGTCACAGGAAGGTTGCAAGAGAAATTGCACACCGAACAGCAGCCTGAATAATTGTCTAAGAATGAAGCAACAGCTTCTAAAAACATTGTCTTAATATTTACAGATTTCTTCCCCCGAGGAGATGCATTTAACGGAGGGAAACTGACTAACAAGAAGAATCTTAAATTCTTAAATTACAGTCCTCGACTTACAGTAAAACATTCCTAATTAAGCAAGGCAGTTGTTTTATAACCGTTTTGCCAGGGTCGTTAAGCAAATCACTGCAGTTGTTTTAAGTGAAACAATGGTCGACTTGCAAAAGCTCATTTAGTGACAGCACTGAAAAAAATGACTTGTGACCGTATTTCACATTTCACTACCTGTCCTTCTTTGCGGGCATAATATATTAGGCTAAAGTATCTGAGGACGCTAGAAAACCATGCCTCACTGATAAGCATTAAATAGACCTAGATAAATTTATTCAAAGTGTTAGCAGCTCACACCTTCCTTGGTTCCTTAGACTTCTATCTGTTATTCTGATTTCTCTGTTAATTAAAGGTGGGACTTTTCATCAATTTGTCAGTTACTCTTTTGAAATAGTGTCTGCATTCACACGCAAAATTAGCACATTGTTTTATTATTTACACAAGAAACTGTTCTCAAACTCCGATTATTGTCTGGTATCTTTGGACCCTTTGAAACCTGTTTATTTAGGTCCTCCGGCAGATTGTCTCCGATGGCCCCGTCAAACACCACTTGTCTATTTTTAAAAAGCTCCAGGAGAACAAGAGTTGTGTAAAAACAAGCTGTATTTTTCTATTAATAGCACGCTCGGTGAGATATAGCCTCAAAGAAGTCAAGTTAGTCCAGATGCTTGGGGGGGGGGGGTGTTTTTTGTTGCTGTTGTTTTTATGCTTGGAGGTGCATAAAAATTTGCTTTTTTTTCCTTCAAAAGAAGAAAAAAAGACTAGCTAAATACATAAGCTTTCCCAGAAAAAGGACTCTTCCCATTAACCTGTTGCTGTAGCAACAATTAGAATCCATTTCAGGGCTGATTTGCTTAAGCCAAAAATTAAAATGGTGATTTAAAGCGGGGGTCTCCCAACTTGCCAATTTTAAGACTTGTGGACTTCAACACCCAGAATTCCCCAGCCAGGAAACGACCTGATAAGGCTTCGTGATCTTTGCGCGAGATCCATGTCATTTGTGGCTACGCAAGGATGCTAAGCTAGGCCCTCGCTTGTCTCCTCCTTCCAGCCTAGCAGGCAGTTTCCCAGCACAATACTTCTGAGTGTCCACTTTGGGACTCTCCAGTTAGGGTTATCCCTCTTCTTTTTCCTTGCCTTACACCTGAATCCCCGAGACCATCCCTTCCTTCTTTACTTCAAGGCACCTGTCCAAACTCAACTCTTAGACGAAGTGGGTGCTGTCTACTAAAGCTAAGCTTAGGATACTTGTAGTTGAACTGAAATACTTCCCTCATTACTCTTGTTTCTGTTTCCTCCTCTTCCTTGGCCATTCCTGGTAATAACAGAGGAACTAAGTCTGTTTCTGTTCTCCCTTGATGGTGTGGAGAACAAGCATCCATCAGGAGCATCCATTCTTCCGAGGGACGCAGTTAACAAAGCCAGTATTGTTGGGTGGCAGTGCCCGTCTTTCTGTGGTGGCATTCCAAGGGACCTGGTGGTGGGCATTCCTGAATGCCTGGTGGATGATGTCAGAGCTGGTGAGGTCATAATACAAAAGGGAGGAAGGGGGAGAGAATCAGGCTGAACTGTGCGTTCTGGTGTTATTAATTAAAGAGCGCCAGCTGAGGGAATTCTAGGTTGTAGCCATCAAAGCTCTCCTGAACTGTTCAAGAATCCAGTTCCCTGGACGTCTTCTTAGATCTCAGCCCTGCCCGACATATCAATGCGGGAAGAACTTCTTCGTGGTTTGGATAGGTAACGTTCAGCACTATCCGACCTTTACTTAGACTTTGAGAGGAGAGTCTTGGAAAATCTGCAAGTCCTCGACTTACAGCGGTTTGTTTAGTGACTTTTCAGCGTTACAACAGCACTGGAAAAAGGTGACTTAGGGGATGCTACAACTTACAACTCTAGTAGCATCCCCAGGGTCACGTGACCAGAATTCAAACATTTGGCAATTGACTTGTAGTTATGACCGTTGCAGTGTCCCAGGGTCATACGATCCTCTTTTGCGACCTTCTGACAAGCGAAGTCCTTGGGGGAAGCCAGATTGACAGATTTGACTTAAATTTAACAATTGCAGCCATTCACTTAACAACTGTGTCAAGAAAGGTCGTAAAACGGGGCAAACTCAATTCAACATTTCACTTAGCGATGGAAACTTTGGGCTCAGTTGTAAGTTGAGGACTGCCTGTGTTGCTTGACGTGGTTTCCACAAAACGTCATCTTGGGCTCAAAATCTGGAGATGGTGACTTTTCAGTGGGATGAAGAGGTTGGGGTCCTTCAACCTCACCCCCCAAAAGATGCTGAACTCGCCTTTTAATGTTCTATGATCACACAGTTCTTTGTTCTTGGCTTGCTTGTGAATGTTGGATGGTTGGCCTGCTCACGGATGTGGCCCACAAGCTGCTGGATAACCTGGTTAGATCTTTGGAGGCCTCGTTCCAACCTTGCTCCCATGGCCTCCTCCCAAATTTCGGACAAGGCAGGGATGCCTGTATATGAAGAAGGAAGGATATGCCTGTGCTGAAATAAATGAGAAGTGTCTCTCCCTAATAGATACGGAGGACATTACAGAAACTGCAAGGACAATCATTTAAGACAGCTGGTGGCCTTGAATGGTGGGGCATAAATCAAATTAAACAAGGAAGGCGGCACAGAGCTAAAGGATCATCAGACAAAGAGATTTGTGGAACACGGCAGGGAGATTGGGTGGAATTGAGCTTGGCTGGCTGAGGAATTCTGGGAGTTGAAGTCCACAAGTCTTAAAGTTGCCAAGTTTGCAGACCTTGATCTATCTAACATAAGGGTGTGCAAAACCTCTGGTCAAGTTTGAACAACAGGGCTGACCAAGCCGATCTTTTCTTTCCATATATTCAAATCTTCTTCTCTTCCTTTTGGAACTTGCACTGCTTGTCAGTAAGTGATATAATTACTCTTTTTCCAGTGCGTCACCACCCACGATGGGTCCTTCCCAGGCTCTGCCTGTTTTTCAAATACCTCTTGGTTCCAGTGCAAATAATCCAGTTACTTGGAGCTCCTTGATCAGGAGATGTTATTGTTGTTGCCTGTATAGTTTGGGTTGAAAATAATCCCTCCCTTTCTCGCTGCGATTATAGCAAGTCCACCCCGAAGAGTTCTTGCAAGAAAAAATAAATAGAATAAAACCCAACCCACCTGACTTAACAATTTCTCTGAGAAGCCTGCAATGGGGCCTCTGATCAATCCAAATTATTCTGTGTGTTTTTTTTCCCCCATCCTAGCAACGAAAGAGAAGGAAGAAAACCTCATTTTTATCTTCAAGGATCTGAAGAGGGGCACTGCACGGGGACTCTACAATATGCTAAGCCATCTCGTGATCTTCAGCAAGGAATTCTAGCCCGGCCTCACCGAGGTGGGTGCGAAGTTGTGAGTTGCCAAGGGATCATAATGCTTCTCTGCTCTGCCATCCTGAGGGTTTTGTACATGCACAAGACTTGCTGGGAAGCTAAAATGTGATTTTTTTCTAGTGATGATATGGAGAAGAAAGGGGGGGGGGGGGTTTGTTGGCTTCCTGGCTGTCTTGCTTGCTCTCTTGAGGATTTAATTTAATTTAATTTTTTTGAACCAGCGTATTTTAAAACGTAACTTAATATATAGCTTCTCGAATTTCTTCTATCTTGCAAAAGGTATATTCTTACCATGGGTTCTTTTCATGCATCTCTGCTGCCGCTATCTGCGCATTTCATGCCCTACATTAAATAATTAAATCTCGGGGATGCCCCAGCACCATGGACTGCTCTGCCCATGGAAGTCCTCCAGACCCTCACCCTTTTAGCCCCCCCTATTTGAGCTGAATGGCGCCAGGTTTTTATTTCATGTTTAATGTTTTCATTAGTTGGGTTTTAGAGTTTTAAGTGATTTTAAATGGGAAGGGTCAGATTTTTGATTGGGAGCTGAGGTGTTTGAAAGATGGGCGGCTACTAAAACGTTTTAAATCAGCACAAATGAAATAAATGTTAGCACACTTTAATATCTTTACGAAGAAGTGAATAGCTTCTGGGGTGAGATTACTTACCTGAAACAGCCACTTAAACAGCAGACTCTTACTTTTGTTGTTGTTGTTGTTGTTTTTAAGAAAAAACTCCTGTTCTCTTTAAGTAAAAGGGGGGGAAAACAAAAAGAAGTGAATAGTTTAGATTTTTTTAAATAGGAGAGGATTGCTGGTATGTGCAATTGGCAAGCTGACTGCAAAAATGTTTTTCCCCCCCCTGCTTAGGAGGCCTGGATGGAGAGCAGAATTTCTTTGCAAGTCGGTTTCGGAGCAACAGAGGTTAACGTCTCTGCTCTCTTTGCCCTTGATTGGCAGGTTTAACCCAGAGGCAAGCCAAAGAGAGATCCATATGTTTGGGGAAAGATAGTGATTGCTTCAAACTGACCGACCATGAGTATGTTGAAACCCAGCGGGCTGAAAGCCCCCAGCAAGATCAGCAAACCGGGAAGCGTGCTGGCGAAAACAGCTGCACCTGTGGCTGCAGGTAATCTGTGGTTCGCTGTGGGCCAGTTTTATGAAGGAAATGGTCGTAAGTAGAGGACAGCTCTCGTCACTATCCGTGACGCTCTCCCCCTCTTTCCGTTTCAGCCTCTCCAGAAAAGACCCCGGCCGCTGAGAAGCCCCCCGCCACAGAAGGTCCGGATGAGTTTGTGGACGACTTCCGAGTCGGGGAGCGTATTTGGGTCAATGGGAATAAACCCGGCTTCATCCAGTTCTTGGGAGAGACCCAGTTCGCTCCAGGCCAGTGGGCAGGAATCGTGCTGGACGAAGCCATTGGGAAGAACGACGGCTCCGTGGCCGGCGTGAGGTACTTCCAGTGTGAGCCCTTGCGTGGCATCTTCACGAGACCTTCCAAGCTCGCCCGGAAGGCCATGCCCGAGGATGAAGCCAATGGGACCCAGGCCTCTCGGGCCACCTCGCCCACCTCGGTGGCCAGCCTGGTGTCTTCTCCTTCGGCGGCAGCCCACCTGCCTCCCACCGGCATCCCTCAGAAGACCCCCGTGTCTCAAGCGAGCAACCTCTCCAAGACCCCCAGCGAGTCCATTTCGAACCTGTCCGAAGCCGGGTCCTTGAAGAAGGGTGAAAGGGAACTCAAAATGGGAGACCGAGTGCTGGTAAGTTGTCGGGTCTCTTGGGAAAGGAGGAGAGACGTTAAGTTGCCCTCTCAGCTCAGTGAAGGCCAGGCAGGGGAGAGGGTTGAAAATGTCCTGGATTTTGTGTATTTAAAGTATTTGTGTGTTTATAGAGAAGGAAAGCTGAAACGTCGTACATGTAGAACAGGATTCCTCAACCTTAGCATCTTTTAAGACTTGTGGACTTCCAAAATTCCCCATCTTAAAGCTGCTAAGTTGGAGAATGCCGCTCCAGATGCCTTTAAACTGTCTAATCTGATCAGGAAGGGTTTTTTTTTTTAAGTATAATGTCAACAAAAAAAGGGGAAAAAACCTATTTCTCTTAGCTCCACTTTAGGAAAGCACGTTCTGTTTTTATTTTAATTTACCAGTGGACTTTGATTCATCCTTTTAGCCATAATCATGTTGTAAACCTTTTTTTTCCCTTCTACTCACATCTTATTCGAGGTCTGGGGGAAAAATATATATATATATAAATGTCTGGTGATCTCAATCAGCTGCTTTGGCTCGTTACGGTTTTGCATCCTCCCTTCTGAGTTACACGGTGCCGTCATGCTTTACTAAAAAAAGATTTTGCAAAAGCTCTCGCTGGTCTTTCCTTTTTTTAACACTTTTCCCGGATGTGAGCGAAAGTCACCAGGGTAGCTATTTTCTACATGGGCTCAGGATGCCCTCCTCTGGGGGGGGGTAAATTTACTAAGCTGGGGGTTTTTTCCTCCCAGAAAAGAGAGTGCGTTTAACCTGGCGATGGAAGGAAATGAGAATTTCACTTGGCAGGGTTTATTATTTTGGAATATAATTATTTTTGGGTGGAGTGTGACTCCTTCACCTCCATTTGCCCTGTTTCTGCAGTCAGTGAAAAGAGCATTTTTAATCCATCCATTCAGATTTATTTTTGTAAAAAAACCAACAGATTAAGTTTCTCTAAAGACACCCAGCTTGAGGAATGATTTCATTTGTTGGACGGGCTTTGCTTGTCTCCAGGTAGGATAAAAACTGCTGTGTCTGCAAATCTCATGTGCCAACAGGTTGCTGACTTTTGGGCACGCTAGGTAAAAAAGGACAGTCAAGGTGAGATCATTCTTTTGGCGAGATTAATGAAGATAAAATCAGTCTGCACCACGAGATATTATCAAAACATTAAAGGATTTGTTTTCTCTTTGCTGAACCAGGACAAATGATTTTGAAGCTAACTGCACAGAGCGGCATTTCTCCAGCTTGGCGCCTTCAAGATGGGTGGACTTCCACTCCCAGAATTCCCCAGCCAGTTTACCCATCTTCAAGTTGCCAAGCTGGAGAAACATAGAGATAAGGATTATGGGAATCCAGCTGTGCTTGTGACTATATGCTGCAGGCAAAGCAAGATCCGAACTACAAAATAAAATCAAATAATGAAATCAAATAAAAATAATAAAAGTTTCATACTTTTGGTTCATTTGCTCATTTGCTCTCCTATCAAGGTTAAAGTATCTGAACCGTTCTTGGCAAACGTAGCCGGTTATTTCACTGGCTTCAAATCAAATACATTTCCAAAATAACCCCATTCGTGCGGAAGAGGAAATCCTGAAGAACTAGTTATTATTTTAGGTTTGGTCTTTATTAGAGCTGGCTAAAGTTTGCAGTCTTCATTTTTGTCCAGGTTTTGCCCTCAGCAGCGGAAAAGCCGAAGAGTTGGTTGTGTGTCTGGAGGATTGTTTTGAAAGATGGTGCAAAATTCTTTTCTGCTCTTCCTTTTCCATTTTCTTTCTTACCCGCTTTCTTTTTAACTTTTTTCTTTTCAATTTTTTTCTTTTAATTTTTTTTCTTTTTAATTTCCTTTTCAACTTTCTCATCAATTTTTTTCTTTTTATTTTCTTTCTTTTTAATTTCCTTTTCAACTTTCTCATCCAATTTTTTTCTTTTTATTTTCTTTCTTTTTAACTTTCTTTTCAACTTACTTCCCCCCCCCCCACTTTTTGATCAACTGTTTTTCTTTTCAACTTTCTTTCTTTCCAGGTGGGGGGAACGAAAGCTGGCGTGGTGCGTTTTTTGGGAGAGACGGATTTCGCCAAGGGGGAGTGGTGCGGCGTTGAATTGGACGAACCCCTGGGCAAAAATGATGGGGCCGTGGCAGGGACAAGGTGAGATCCTGTCCAGCTGAGAATCAGGGTACCCCGCTTTCATTTGAGTTTCATTGAACTTCCTGTGGGGGAGAGAGCTATTTCTGGGTTCCCCTTTGGGTGTTTCTGTCTCCTGTTTTTCAAACCAGGAGGATCTTTAAAAATAGCAACTGTGATAAAATTCCTCCGGCGCGTTGGTTAAAGCACAAGGAAAAGGAACCCATAAGCTTCAGCAAACTTTTTATACTCCTGCTGCAAAAACAGGCCTAACTGTGAATGCACGCCTGCATTCTTTGTCTCTAGTGGAGGGAAGTTTTCTTTTTAAAAATATTTATCTCATAAGACACAAGAAATCCCTTGGAAAAGAAGGCACCGTGCTGATTTTCTGGATTGTCTGACTTGCATAGACATCCTGAAACCTCTGTTTCCATACATTTGACCCGCTGAAGATACGTGGACTTCAGCTCCCAGAATTCCCCAGTGTTCCTTAACCGTGGCAACTTTAAGATGTGTGGACTTCTGGGAATTGAAGCCCCCCTGTTTTCCAAGTTGCCAAAGTTGAGAAACACTAGTATAAACTAAAGTCTCTTTGCTAAATCTTCCGCAAACGGACAAAGATCAAACGTGGTGGGCGACAATCCCTAGATAACACTACCGTTTCTTCAGAGAGACGTATAATTCGCTAAGCATCAGTGCCTTGATCTAAAGCAGGGGTAGTCAACCTTGGCTCTTTTATGACTCGTGGACTTCAACTCCCAGAATTCCTGAGCCAGCACAGCTGGCTCAGGAATTCTGGGAGTTGAAGTCCACGAGTCATAAAAGAGCCAAGGTTGACTACCCCTGATCTAAAGTCAGGTGTGTCTACGCAAGATTTTTCTCTGCAGTCTTGTTTTCATGGCTGGGTCTCTCCTTCTCTCCGCCTCAGGTATTTCCAGTGCCAGTCCAAATACGGCCTCTTTGCTCCAGTGCACAAAGTGACCAAGATCGGCTTCCCCTCCACCACCCCGGCCAAAGCCAAGCCCGCCGTCCGGAAAGTCCTCCCCACGCCCACCAATCTGAAGCGCAGCCCCAGCGCCTCGTCCCTCAGTTCTCTCAGCTCGGTGGCCTCTTCCGTAAGCAGCAAGCCGAGCCGCGCAGGACTAGTAAGTTTCTTTTCGTATTGCGTGCTTGACGATCCTAGAGCAGAAATGGGCACTTTTGTGGGTCATACACACACCTCCACACGCGCACACCCTGGCCGTTTTGCACTGCTCATTGGCCTCGTAGCGGTGCCGATCTCTGCAAGCATGCATGGAAAAAAACTTGGCTAGCCCTGACAAATAGAAGCGTTTGTGCTTAAGATGTGATCCTAACCTTTAATTCAAACTAACCACGGTTTCTTAAAACAAGAAAGAGGTTATGTTTTGGATTGTTAAGGGAAGGGGGTCGGGCTTACACTCTGCCACACACACACACACATGCAGAGTAATATTTCTGCATGCAAACACACACAGGCATACGTATACCTGCAGTAACGCATCTGTAATAAATACGTCTATACAGATGTGCGCTCACCTGCAAAGGTATTCTCAGAGAGCATCATACGTTAGAAAGTGGAAAATCCAAAAGCTCTGAATTGAAAAAGCATCCCACTGAAACCACTGGTTTTTTAAAATATATACTGTATATATATATAGGGAGATTGAATGACGGTACACAGGGTTGCATTTTTCAAACTGTACTATGGGTTTACGTTTCCCTTTTGATTGAAGACAAAAATGCAAACATATGGATGCTCAAATACACCAATATGAGTGAGAGAGGGAAGGGATGGCGGTAGGTGGTTTTAATTAGTTAATTTATTTTTGCCCACATGTTGATTTTGAGCATTAGTGGTTTTGCTCCAGAATCATGGCTAAATTCAGTTGAAGACGACCTTTATTGTCTAAATGGAAGCAATGCCTTACACCCCCCCCCAAAAAAAGCCTCTTTCTTTACTCTCCAGGTGTGAACCATAAACATACCTGGTCACCTTGCAAATTGTGTATTTTACTAACTTCATCACTCACCGTATATTAACGCTTAGCCTTAACTTAAATGGCTTAATCTTGAGTCACCTGCAGGAAATCTCAGTTTGCGAGTCTTCCCCACCGAGAGATGGCTTAAAATTGGGAATTAGCAAAGTTCTTTTCTCCCCGGTGGTTTTTTTCCCGCCAAATTTGGCAAGCCCCTTTGTTTTTTGCTGCATGTGATGCCAGGTTTGTGCCTTGGATAAGGGAGCGAATTCTGGGGTTAAACTGAAGGACGGGCGCCCTTGTCGGAGAATGCTTAGCGGCTTAACCAGCTAATCTGCTCTAGGCTCCCTCTGCTTAGGTTGAGGCCATCAACCCTTTGTTTCTCTTTGAACTCTTCTGTTTCCTATTCTCCCGAATGCTGCATTAAGAGTCTTGCTATGCAGGTATGTTCACTTCCTTTCTTGTTTACGAGGCGGGTGGAAGTGCAGAATACGAAAGAAAAAATTGTCTTTTTCATTTGTTTGTTTTTTCCCCCCTAAAATGGGGGTACTCACGGAAGTCTCGGCCTCACCCTATTTTTTTTGCCCTGAGTTTTGCTCTCGTCAGATCAGAACTGAATTCTGACAGAAAGCATCCTGCAGAAATATGCCCTTAACCCTCTTCCAACAGAATAGAATCACCTCTGTTCCAGGAAGCTAAAATCAGTCTCTTTGCATTATGGTATATCCACCTATTGAGACCCTCCTGTTTCAGAGCCTCCTGGCTCTTCTTTTCCCCTTATTTGAGGGGTCCTTGGTGCTCTCTGAGCTGGGTTGTTTCCTTGAAGACGTTTCATGACCCAGCCAGGTCACATCATCAGTGCTAGGACTGTACCACTGATGATGTGACCTAGTTAGGTAATGAAACGTCTGCCAGAGAACAACCAAGCTCAGAGAGCCCCAGTCCTCCTCCTCCTCCTCCTCCTCTTCACAAACCCCACTCTCTTGTAGCACTGATGATATTACCTAGTTAGGTAATGAAACGTCTACAAGAAAACCACCAAGCTTAGGACCCTTCATTTAAACCCTGAGCTACAAATATACTTTATTTCCCCTGCTGAATATCTGGTCCTATCTGGGCAGATCTGCTGGCCAACAACTGTAAAGCTGCAGTGACCCAATCCAAATTCAAGACGCCGGTGGTGTTTGCAACACCGGTGTGTGTTTTTGGACCTTTCCAGCACTGGCTGGTCTGCTCAAAACCCCTCTCTCATTTCTGTAGTTGACAGAGACGTCCTCTCGGTACGCACGGAAGATCTCGGGCACCACCGCCCTGCAAGAGGCACTGAAGGAGAAGCAGCAGCACATTGAACAGCTCCTGGCCGAGCGGGATTTGGAGAGGGCGGAGTTGGCCAAGGCCACCAGCCACGTTGGGGAGATAGAGCAGCAGCTTGCCTTGGCACGGGATGGACAGGATCAGGTGAGCTGAGGGGTTTAGCCTGTTGAGAGCCACTCTGGCAAGTCCAAATCTGCAACTTTATGGCCTTCTGCCCACGCTACAAGAATCTCCCCAGACTGCTTGTCTTCCCCTGGGAACGGCCAGATAAACTAGAGTGGAACTTAAGGAGGGTCAGGCTGATGCCCCTTGCAGCTGTGTAAGGACTCAAGACTAGTTCCCTGCTTGACCCCTCCTTCCTGCCCAGCTGGGAATTTCCCGACATCAGGCAGCAGTTGGGGAAGATCAAATCTCTCTTCTGTAGAAAAGATCCCTCCGTTTTTACGACCCTGTAGTCCCTTAATTCGGGGTAGAGTCAGGGTTACTGGATGCCCTTCCTGACACCGCTTTTCCGTACAAAAACTTCTCTGTACAAAAGATTAAGGAAGGAAAAAGATTCCATATTACCAAGACCATTTTACTCATCATTTTAGCAAATGGCAACAACTGTTGGCTTGTTTTGGGAGTCCATTTGCTAAATTCATTGCTCGTCTTTTCCACTCCATAAGCTCTTAAAAAGTTGCCAGGTAAAACACGGCATTAGCTAAATTTCTGATGAAAAGCGACCTAATATTCGGGGGGCGAAGTTGAGACCTTGGGAGAAGCGAATAGCTTGGGTTGGATTGAGGATCAGTATATATCTGGTATCCTGTAGCTGTTTCACCGTAGCCTCATTTAAATCAAAGAGGCATTTTTCTCACCTACATCTCTGTTAACCCAGCGAATACTGGAAACGGAAGCCAAGATGGACCAGCTGCGAGCCTTGGTGGAAGCTGCTGATAGAGAAAAAGTGGAATTGCTGAACCAGTTGGAGGAGGAGAAGAGGTAAAACAAATATGCAAGCAAGCCCCCCCCCAAAAAAACAAAATATTGAAAAAATTATGTACAGGTAGCTCTGCAGCCAACGTGCTCTTCTTCACTGGAATTATAATCCAGGAATGGCTGGAGAATTCTGAGAAAAATTAGCAGTGAACTGTGCTCCGTACATTCCATCCTCTGCCTATAAGAGGTTACTCCAGACCGTGGTGGATCAAAAGGGATCATGCAGCTGTTTTTTTTAATCTTCTGCATGGATCTTTTAATAACAATCCAGACAGAATTACAACCCTTTTCCTCAACGGGGGCAGGGAAACGGTGTCTTATCCTTAGGCGGCTGGTTTGAATCTTACGAGATTTGAAATCTTTGTTAAAAAAAATCAGAACTATTGCGCTAGGATGCTTATGGGAGATGGAGCTGCACCGCTCGTCTTATCTTCCTTGTCTTGCTTTCCAAAATTGTTCACAGGAAGGTTGAGGATCTGCAGTTCCGCGTAGAGGAAGAATCTATTACCAAGGGCGACTTAGAGGTAAAAATGTCTCCGATTCTGTTAAGCCGGCTACACGAAAAAGAAAGCGCTTATGCCCTCGCAGAGTCCCAAGCGAATAAAGAAAAGTGGTGGCATTTTACCACGTCTGAAAAGACCCGTGATGTGACTTAAACCTTGCTAGCTGAGTGTTCTCACATTTGACCAGATTTTCTTTCTAATTCTTTGTCTCCGCTGTGAGTAAGTAACCTTTTCAATTCTCGTGTTTTACTTCTGTGTCGTTCCATAACCTTTCTGGATGCTTTCCAAATCCCTAATTAAAACTGTTCGTTAAAAACCACCCACTGGAAATTAGCGCCAAAGCTTTAAAACTCACAGCGGGTGACTCTCCTCTTTATCGAAGGCCGGAAGGCCAATAAAATCAAGGCTGAGAACCCCAGCACGATTGAGAGTGATGCTAAATGTCATCTTGTACTTCTTTGGCAAGACTTTCAAAGAACGCAAGGCTTAAGCAGTCAGATGGCTACCCTAACGTCTGAACTGCGTTCCCGGCCGACTTCAACAAAATTGCAGGCCTACGCAACACTTGGCAAGTTGGGCTTCAGCAATGAAACCCGCAGAGCTTGCTGGTTTTGCATGCTAAATTCACGCAGCCGGGCACTAAATTCACATCCTCTTTAGCATGCTTGATTTCAGAAATGAAACCCCTTGGGATGTTCAGTAAATGCTTTTTCCTAATCTCATGTACCATGCAAAGTTGGAAACTGACATGTTGAGCTGCAGATAATCCAGACTGAAAGCAGGAGCCTTGAACTTAATATTTCATATTAATATCATCTTTAGTTCGACTTTTTTTGTTCCCCGCCCATCCATTTTATCTGGACTTTTCAAGGAATGCTCATTTTCAGTCTGTGGTTCTTTGTATGTTTGTGTTTATGTGTGTGCGTGTTTGTGTGTGTACGCCTGTGATCAATAAACAGAAAAACTGTATATTATTAATAGTTTGAGAGTGTCTTTCTGCACCAGTGCATACAATTCTTGTTTAGCGACTGTTTGCAGTTAGGACGGTGATGAAAAAGCCACTTTGTGACCAAACCACGCAGGTCGGTGAAGCGAAGGAATGCTGAAGTCAGATCATAAGCATAATCATGGTTTCATTTAGTAACTGTTTTGTTTAACAACCAAGTTGCCAGTTGCTGAAGAAGGACACCTGTACCCAGGTCTTCTTTATTCCTAAGACTGCTGGCTCATGAACGTCAGGGTTGCTAAATCTTTCCCCTTAACCACAAAGAACTCACCATGTCATCCTTGTGCAACACGCGTCCGTTAGACCGTTGAGTGGTTTCAAAAATTAGGTCCATGAGAAGATCCGAGGGCGACATACGAGTCCCAAACTTGGATATTCTGGTCGTTTCACACAGTGGCTTGACTAGAGATCACCCTGCTTGCCCAGCCCATCACACCTGCTTATGTGCACGCAGGCACTCTGCGGCCACAAGGGCACAAGAGGTATGGCAGGTGCTGTATCCCTGTCTTTTTGTGAGCACTGCAGCCTACCAAGCAGGACCAATCACTTATGTTTGATTGAGAGCAGCCACTGGTGTACATTTCCTCAGCCACAACTCGCGGTGTGGTTTGCTTCTCTTTTTTTTAACTTGTATTTTGAACTCTCACGTTTAATGTTCTGGTGAACTCATTTTGTCTTAATTTTTGCTGATAGCCAAAGAGAAAAATGTCTGAAGACCCTGAAAATGTAAGAGGACCTCTGAATGTGTGGAGACACCCCTTCCTTCTCCCGGTCTTAACACCCGATTCTTTCCCAATAAAGCGTTTGTCGCTGGTGCTCTTTAACCACTAACACCACAGTTCGTCCTCGGGACGTGCTCCCAGCTGTGTCTGCATGGAACTGAAGAACCTTTGTAGGTTTTAAAAATGTAGGACCTTGGTCAGAAGCAGAGAATGAGGAGGGAAGCAGGATTCATAAAAGTTGTGCTTTCATACAAACCTTCAAACTTAGCACCGTGTCCTTAATGCTTTTAAACCTTGCAAGCTTCTTGTGGGAGATTTGCTTCAAAACTTTGAATCGGTTCACTTAAGATCCAGGCCAAGTTGAGTGATTTCCTAGAGTGGGTTTTATTCCATAATTTAATAAGAGAAAGTGAAAAATCAGGATGGAGAAACCATTATTTTTCTTCATTTTTCCCCCCTAGCTTTATTCTCCAGTGGTTTTGTGAAAGATCTTCCCTTTTACAGAATGTTTAATAGTACATTCCCTGTATTGTGCATTGCACGTGTGTAGTGTGACTCCTAGGAAGAACTGAAGACTCCCTTTAGACCCCCTCCTTTTTCCTACACACACAAAAATCAGCGTCGTTTCCCAGAAGGTCTCTGAAGGGTCCTGTCTGCTTTTTTTTCCCCTGTGCAAAATCGAATCTTCAAGTTGGCACTTCTGTCTTGCCGTGTGGCCTTGTGCGTTCTGATTGCACAGTGAAGTATTGTGATTTTTGTTTTGCTCTTCTTAAATCAAGCTAGTGGCGTAGCTGAATGAAATTTGCATGTGACATATTCTTTTTTTTTTCCCTTTTTGTGAATGCTTTCTTTCTGCACCCAAATCTTTTCTAAGCAGGGTACGTACGCTGTCTTTTTTCTATCCCCCCCCCCAACTGAAATCCTTTGCTTTTGAATATTGATTTAATTGAGCGTTTGCAAAAAGGTTACAATCCACTTCTCTGAGCCCCCTCCTGTTTTAACCCAGTTGCCAACTCTTGGAAGAAAGAAGGGTCTTGTGACATCTAAAACCCCTGCTAGGTCTGAAGAAGACTCAAGTCCACGTACAACAGTAGAGTTCTCCATTAATTGGAGCAAGGTCTGGTCAAGTAATATCTCCAGTTCTCCTGGATTACAAGGTCTGTAATTTCTGATCCACAGGCCATGCTGGCTGGAGGCCACCTAATTGCCTATCTTGACCTTCAGGGTTTGTTAGCAAAAATGGGACCTTGAGCATTTTATAGGTTAGTTCCCCCTTATTCAATCCATCTAGTGTGTTTATGGAGCAGGAGGATGAAAGGCCAATTAAATTTGAGATGCCACTAAGGTTGCTCCCATCCTCTTCCCAGCCTGTTCAACAACAACCAGATGTTCTAGTGAAAAACACTATGCTCAACGGTGGACCTGATTGGAGAAGGATATATTTTAAGGATCATCATAATGACCGGTAGTATAGAGGAGGGGGAAGCCTCTCTGCCAATTGACCTTGAGGACCCTTAGCAGTTTGGACTTGTAACCTAAACCCTTGACTGACGTGATGAACTCAGTGGAGGAGTCTTGCACCACTTTTGAAGTCCTTGATGGACCCAGGAGGGTCTCTGCTTCATACGCCTCCATGATATATCCAGACCTCTCAGATGGCCTGACGTCCTTTTGCAAATCTGGGCCAAGTTTAAGCTGTTGACGTTGAGGAAGCTTTGCCCCAATTTGTTGGGCTTCCTTTCGATCATCCCTCTTGTGAAATCTTAACTCGTAAAACATGGCCAAGAAACTTCTAGTAAAACCTTTGAGGGGAATCTGTTCAGTTTAGTTGAGCTCTTTTCATCCAAGGAGGTGTGTGAAGGAGGCTGGGCTGAGGGAACCTGCTCCAGAGTCATCTGGCCCATGTTGGGGTCATCTAAACTATCGCCTGGTTCAACACTCAAGAGGCATGTCACCCCCAACATCTGGCTTGCCAGCTTCTCCTTGAAGACCTTCTGACAGAGGGATTGATCACCCTCTTCACGATGAGCTCCGATCCTGGCAGGGTCTTCTCTCCAAATGCTCCCCTCACCCAGAAGCTCCTCTTCCCCTTCCCCTCAAAGTTCTCCTCCTCCTCCAACGTAAGCGAATCACCTTCCTGCCCCCATGGAAATGAGTCCTCTTCTAGTGAGGGCCCACCAGGAGCAAAAATCATGACTGACACAGCATTAACTTCTCCTAATTTGTGCTGATAAGCGTCACATTGATCAGTAACTTTGGCTGCATGGTTTTGTCGCTTTTTGTCTGTGTGTTGTGCTCCTTCATACATCCACCCCTTGACGCTCGGCGTGCCAGCCCTGAGTTGCACCTTCCGAGTCCGTCTTTTACCTGATTCATTTTTATTTTTTCGTTTTTGTCACCCTCTCTCTCCTTCTTCCACCCTCCCATCTTCTGCTGCTCACCACTGGTAGAAGACAGCCGGTGGCACCTCCTGCATGTCGCTTCTCTTTCTTCTCATGCTGGCATGTGATGGTGGCACTGTTGTGTTCTCTTCCTTTCCCTTTTTACTAACAGACGCAGACCAAACTGGAACATGCCCGCCTTAAGGAGCTTGAGCAGAGTCTTCTCTTTGAAAAGACCAAAGCTGACAAACTCCAGAGGGAGTTAGAAGACACTAGGGTAATGGACGTCACTATGTTTCAATCTAGGTGGCCGTGGGGTGTGCATGTCTGCATGGAAGCGATTGAGAGTTTTCAGTGGGGAAGGTTTATGGTGTTGGAGTAGGCGGCTGGTTGTATTTTGGAAAACTTGGAACGGTCTATCAGAGGCCACAAATGTTCTCTTCTATTGCTACCACTTGATTTTGTCTTCCCGTGTCTCTAAAACGTTCAGTCCTGTAAAGTCTTGCTAAACTTAAAATCCCTTTTTCTGGACTAGCTTTCAGACTGCTGTGAAGTCCCGGTAAGATAATTTCATAGAAGGGAGTAAGAAATAATACATATAAAACAAGTCTTAAGAGATGCTAGAACCTCAAGAGTGAGGTAACCAAGCTTGAGGAGCTGATGAACGTTCAGCTGTCCTTCATCTACACGGTGAGGACCATCTTAGCTTCCTGATTAAGCTTGAAGGTCTGGAACTCTTCAAAAAGAGTTGTCTGACATGATACAGGGGGTTGGACCAGAAGACCCCCAAGGTCCCTTCCAACTCTATTATCCTATCTTCTAAAAGTCACGTGAAGAAAGCCTTGGTGGTTAATTGTTCTCGGAACTGGTTTGGAGATGGGCTGAAATGTCGTGGCTCTCAATTTTCTGCAGTCGTGGAACTAACATTTCCTTACAGTTTCACTTTTTAAGGAATCCTTCAAAGTGTCCTGCAAACTTCTGATAATGTGCAAGCTGCAGATGTAAGCTTTTGATCTTAACAGCCCACATATCACGAATTTCTGATGATTGACCTGTCTCTTGGGATCGAGATTTACTTCTAAGCGCACAAAACAAAAAAGCACACAAATACATTTTGTGTGAGTTGAAAGTTACTATTTTATAATAGTACGTGGGATTTCACTAACAGCCTCATTTAGAGAAAATAGAGAAACGTAGGTTATCAGTATGTTCTACTGGTCTCTTTTGAAGCACTGAAGATGCCATGTTAGTGCTCTGAAGTATTTAGACTATCTCAGTGCCCCCTTTAATATGTTCTTTTATAATATTCTCCTTTTTAATGCTGTTTTTTCCGCAGGTCGCCACTGTGTCTGAAAAGTCTCGTATCATGGAACTGGAACGAGACCTCGTATTGCGGGAGAAGGAAGTCGCTGACCTTCGGTCAAGATTGGAGTCTAGTAAAGTGACCAGCAATGTGGACACGTCTCTCTCGCTGCTCCAGGAAATCAGCGCTCTGCAAGAGAAGATGGCATCGATGAACAAGGGACATCAGGAGGAGATGAAGTCAGTGCGGGAAAAACTTGGGGTCAGTGAAGAATCCTTCCAGAAGGAAATCAAGGCCTTGTTGTCCTCTAATGAAAAGATGGCGAAAGAGAACAATTCCTTGAAAGCCAAGCTGGACACGGCCCACAAAGAGAATTTAGAGGTGATCGAATTGTGGAAATCTAAGCTGGAAGCTGTGATGGCTTCTCATCAGCAAGCCATGGAAGAGCTGAAGACCTCTTTCAGCAAAGGATCTGGGATCCAGGCAGCGGAGTTTGCAGAGCTCAAGGTGGAGATTGAGAAGATGAAAGAGCAACATCAGAACGAAGCATCTAACTTGAAGCTGAAGCAAGAAGGCGAGAGGTTGTGTCTCACGAAGGAGATTGAAGCCCTGAAGACCAAGCTGCTGGAGGTCACGGAGGAGAAGGAGAGAAGTTTAGAAGCGCTGAAGACCCAACTGGAAAGCGCAGAAGATCAGCACCTGGTGGAAATGGAGGACACGCTTAACAAGTTGCACGAATCCGAAATAAAGGTAAAGGAGTTAGAAGGAATCCAGGAGAAGTGTGTGGAGCAAACCAAGGCCATTGATAGCTTTAAAACAAAGATCAAAGCTGCTGAAGCAAAGCTCATGAAACTTGATGGCCTTCAGGTGGCCCTTTCTGAAGGTAAACTGGAGTTGGAGAAACTCAGTGAGGAACACGAAGCCGCCAAAAGAAAGATACAGAGTTTAGAGAATGACAGAAATAATGAAAGTAGCCAGGTTTGTACCAACATCCATTTTGTGTTATTTTGCTTTAATGTTTATCATTTTTTTCTTCTTCATTCCATTGATTTCATTTTATGTTGGCTTGAGGGAGTCTGTTGTTCACACATTTGAAAACTTACATCAAGCTTTCTGAACGAATTAATAGATCCCAAATTCTGAACAAATTAATAGACTTCTTGTGATATTTACAGGATGACAAAAGGAACTATTTAAAGCAGCATAATCAATTCCTTGATGGAATTGGCAACAAGCTGTAGAGAGGTCCGTCAAGTTGGAAGGGTTTTAATTGGAATTTAGACCAATTTGTGGAATATAAAATAAGACTCTCTGCTCGGCTTCCAAATGGCCATTAATTATCCATGGAGAGAGATAAGATTTTGGTTGAAAGAGGTCTTCAATTTTAACTTCTGTAGAAGACTGTTCAGGATGACACCTTGATTGTGGGATAATATTGAGCAGGGGTCTCCACCTTTGGCAACTTTTAAGACTTGTGGACTTCAACTCCCAAAATTCCCCCGCCAGCTATGAATTCTGGGAGTCGAAGTCCACAAGTCTTAAAGTTGCCAAGTTCCTGATACTGAGCATAGTTCCGGACTAGAAATTCCAACTAGAAAGAAAGTTGGTTTGGATTTTCTCTCTGATACCGAAGGCCTGTAAGGCAGAGTAAGCTTCAACCTTTCATATTTGTCTTCTTCACTTTGAGGAGAAGACAATCAGTGTCTCTCTTTCAACTCAAGAAGCCTAGTCCTTCCTTCAAAAGCAAGATAGGGGTTTCAGAACGTAGAAATGGAGCCTAGAATGAAAAAAAAAATTGTTTAAGAGTTGCTATCTTCCTAAAGTTCTCCTGATGCTATCAGTGTCATGTCTGAATGCCATTCCAGTGCATTAACCGCCCCCTTTCCCCTTCATTTCCCGTTCATGAAAGTGTTTGTTTTCGCCTGCATTTCAACTTGTCCTTCTCGCAGATGCCTTGGTTTGCTTCTCTTGTTTCCTTTGGGTAACTTTTCATTTTTACATCCACCCTTGGTCCACCTGGCTAGGCTGCGAGTCTAGTCAAAGAACTGCAGGCGAGAGAGAAAAAGCTGATTGATCTGGAGCATCACTTAGGCACAGTCAACCAACTTAAAGATTCTCTGGAGAAGGAGCTGGAGGACTTGGTGAGTAACCGCCGGGCTATGGGGCCGATCCACTCCAGAGCTTTGCTTCAGGGCTTTGAGGGGGCCGTTGGCAGCTCCTCCAGAGGCATTTAGGCCTTCCAAGGTAAGACGGTCAAAAAAAGGCCACTTTTGCAGTGGTGTGATCAGAGCACACTGCCTCTGGGAGATTTGCAGTTGTCAAATAATGTTCTTAGGCTTGCTTTAATTCTAAAAGACTAGCCAAATGTTGCAAAGAATTCAAGTAGGGTTTTGGGGGTCTGGCTTAAAGCTGCTTTGGGCTGTTGCATCTTAAAGCGTAGCGTTGCGACTCGCTGCTCAGTGTGGTTATGTTGCTCTGTTCAGCCAAATGTGTTTCTCTTCTCTTCTAGAAGGAAAAATTTACGAAGGGGGCTGATGAGGCAAAAAGCTTACAAAAATCTATGCAAGGTAGGTTTCTCACGAACGCAACCTTCCTTTAATTTTTTATTTTTTTTTAGATGGGGCAGGAGGAACAAGGAATGAAATCTTCTTTTTTAAAAAAAAATAATAAAACAGCTTGCTCAATTTAAGAAAAGTCTCTCTTTGAGAAGCTGAACCGAACTCTGCCTTTTGCTCCTTTTTAGAAACTCTTGAAAAACTAAACCAAAAAGAGCTGCAGTTTGCAGGGATGTCAGGCGAACTCGATCAGCTAAGATCTCACTTCACGGGTAAGAAGAAGAAGCCGCAGACTTTTTTTTTTCACCGCAGTTGAATTCAGAAATAACGCAGCTTCAACCTTTTGCTCGCAACGTTTGCAGCCACCGTTGCAAAACCATTCCAACCTAAAATCAAAAATGTGAATACCGGTCATTTCTTGTGGGAAGGAAGGTGACCTCCTGCCTGCCTTTCTTGTCTCCTCGTGCAGCCATGGAGAAGATGCTGGGAGAAAGAGAACTCAGAGAACGGCAGCTGCTGGAGGCCAAAGCCAAGCTGGAAAACGAGGTGGCCGAAATCATGAGGTCTTCGGGCGACAGCTCTTCCCAGCTGACCAAAATGAACGACGCTCTGCGGCTCAAAGAAAAGTAAATCCACCACCCACCACCCCACCCCATCTGAAGTAGCTTCTCCAGGCTTCAGCCCTCCTGCCCCTAGGATAAATAACTTGAGGAGATCGTCCATATTTTTAAAAAATTATATATTTTTTGTTTTGAAAAAAAAGATAAGCTTGTCAGTTCTGGTTTTTTTATGGTCTCCAACTCTTGAATGATACTCTGAGCATCGGTTTCTCAACCTTGACCACTCTAAAGTGTGTCGACGTCAACTTCCAGCATTCCCCAGCCAGCAATTTTGGAAGTTGAAGTCCACACCTTTTAGAATTCTGGGAGTTGAAATCCACAGATCTTCCCCGTGCTGGCTGGAGAATTCTGGGAGTAGAAGTCCACACATCTGGGAGTGGAACTTTGTACATCTTCCCCATGTTGTTCTAGCTCAGGGGTAGGCAACCTTGGCTCTTTTATGACTTGTGGACTTCAACTCCCAGAATTCCTGAGCCAGCATAGCTCAGCTTGGAAACCTCTCCCTTTCCCCTCAGCGTGGCTGGCTCAGGAATTCTGGGAGTTGAAGTCCACGAGTCATAAAAGAGCCAAGGTTGCCTACCCCTGCTCTAGGTGAAAGAATTAAGCCAAAACCTTGCCCATAAAATACAGACCTTGGAAGAGCTTCGCCATCACCCAGGCCTGCTTATTCTCCAACTCACCCTCTGGGACTGTCCTCATGAACCCTCCTCTTGCTGTTGTCAATTTTAGGCAAGTGGAAGAGCTGCAGGTGCAGCTTAGCAAAGCCAACACAGGCACGGCTCAGCTGCAGGAGGATTTGGCGCAGGCGGCCCGCCAGGCTGAAAAAAAGCAGGAAGAAATGTCTGCACGGCATCAGGAGGAGCAGCAAAAAATGCAGAGCAAATTGGGCACCCTGGTAAGAACGTGGGGAGGGGGGGGGCAGAAATCTGGTGGGCTGTTAGGAATCTCCAGAGACCTTTCCACCTAAGTGGATCGGCAATGCTCTGTGGATTATAAAACAGGAAGGCTGCAAACTCCTGCCTTCAATCGGATGTTCCTCTGCCTGTTTTGTTTTGTTTTGTTTTGTTTTGCAGGAGAAGAAAATAGCAGCTCACCAGGAGCAGCAGAAACACCTGCAAGCCGCCAGTGAGAAATTGCGATCGGAAACGGCTGCCCAGCATGAAGCAGCCCTCAGGGAGGTCCAGCAGGAGCTCCAGAAGAACGAGCAGCTGCTCGCGAAGACCCAGAAGACCAACAGCGAGTTGGAGAAACAGGCCAAGGAACTGAAGAAGGACGCTGAGCATGCAAAGGTGCACATCTGTCTTTGGCAAGGCCGGCAGGGGGATTCTGGGAGTTGAGGTCTGCCCTTCTTAAAGTTGCCACGATTGAGAATCCCTGCTCTAGGCCTCCAAAGTCCTTCCTGATTTTGCTGTTCTTCAGTTTGCTAGCATTTTACAGGGTTTTTTTTGGGGGGGGGTTGGTTAAAAAACTCCTTATTCTGCTCAAAAAGAGAACCTGTGCTACCGTAGAAATGCAGTTAGTTTAACGGTGTTTCTCACCGCTTAACCTCCGACAGCAGTTGGTCATGTTCCTTACTGACTTTGAGCAGTTTCGGTTCTAATTGCTTTTTATTTTGCCTCTCCTTGAAAATGATTCCTGACATTCATTTCCCATTATATCGCCACTGTGCTTTAAGCTTTGTGTTTTGCAAGTCCTGTAACTGAATACGTGGTATATATAATGACACACAGATCAGAGGGAAGGTCCGTACCCACGAGGGAGGCGGGATAAAAACTTGAAAAAATTATAAATCCTCACCTCTCAAAGGAGGAACGTGAGCTAAAACCTGGGATTAATATGCTGTTTTCTGTTTTGGAATTCGCGTGATCTGTATAATGCCTCTGCAGCAATCCTTTAATTTGGGATCAGGTACACAGGTAGTCCTCGACTTACGAGCCCAAAATTTCTTGTCGCTAAGTGAGACATTTGTTAATTGAGTTCTGCCTCATTTTACGTCCTTTCTTGCCACAGTTGTTAAGCAAATCAATGCAGTTTTTTAGTAACACAGTTGTTAAGTGAAACTGGCTTACCCAGTGACTTTGCTTGTCAGAAAGTCACAAAAGGGGATCACATGATCCTGGAACACTGCAATCGTCATAAATGTGAGATAATTGCCAACCTGCTGAATTTTGATCACGTGACCATGGGGATGTTACGACGGTTGTAAGTGTGAAAAGAAGGGGCCATAAGTCCCTTTTTCCGGTGATGCTGTGTAACTTTGAAAACGGTCACTAAATAAACTTTTGTAAGGCGAGGACCACCTGTATTTCATGCCACTATTCCCCGCAACATCTCCAGCTATTTGTGTAGCCTCAAGCAGGCCTCTCTGTGTGTCAGTATATATACCTGCTTAATCTTGTTTTGGAATAGTCGTGCTATTTATTAATCCACCCTCGCCTGCTCGACTTCATTCTCTTTGTGTTTTGTCTCCCTGTCCTTTTGTTCATGTAGTCCTTAACCTCTATGTTAGCAACAGCCAGCAAGGAGATTGAACTAATGTCAGAGGAGATGAGGGCCTTGATAGCAGAGAAGGAAGTCTTGGCACAGGAAGGGAATGCTTTAAAGTTAGAAAAAGGTTCCTTGTTATCCAAGCTGGTAGACTTGGAGTCCAAGATTGGGCTGTTGAAACAGGATCAGGAGAAACTGTGGACCGTGAACGAGGAGCTCAACCTGGAGAACAAAAAAACGGCCAAGGAGAAACAAGAAGCTGAGAACAAAACCCAGCAAGAGAAGGAGAAGAACGACGAGCTGATCTCCGAAAAGGGAAGGTTGCTCCTGGAGATTGAGGCTGCCCAAGACGACCTCCTTAAGATCACGAGAGAGAACGACGCTCTACGTACATCGAAGGCGGCTCTCCTCGGTCAGGTGGAGGAGCTCCAAGCCCACAATGAGACCCTGGCCCAGGAATGTCAGAAGCACGTCAGCCAGCGGGAAGAACTGGAGGATTGTCAGAGGAAGCTTTCGGAGGAGAACGCCGCTCTTCTCAAAGATAAGGACGACGTCATTCAGAAGCTGAAGAGCTCGTACGAAGACATGGCCAGAGACCAAAAAGAGCTGCTTCAGGAAGTGACCACCTTGGCTGCTGAGAGGGACTCGCTCTTGGGCAAGCATTTGGATCTGGAAAACAAGCACGTCGCCTTGAAGAGGGAACGGGATAGTCTCCTGCAGACCAGCCAGGACCTGCAGTCTGACAAGGAGACCCTCTTGAAGACGCAGGAGGAGAGACGCAAGAGCTTAGAGCAGGCTCTAGAGGGAAAACGGGAGCTTCAGTTGAAAAGCGAAGGCCTTCAGTCCAAACTGGAATTATCAGACAAAGAGCTTAAAAAGGTCACCAAAGACAAGAGCCAACTGGAGGCCTCTCACGCTAGTCTTTCAAAACTCCTGGAAGAGATTAAGGCCAGTCGGGCATCGACAGACACCGAGCGGATTCAGCTCCTGCAGGAGAAGGAAGCCTTGGTCTGCTCCGAGAGAAGACTTGCAGCTGAAAGGGAGGAACTGTGGAACGAAAACCAGAACCTTTCAGAAAAGCTGGCCCAGACCTCTGAAGAAGCCGCCCTGATTGAGAGAGCCTTGAATGAGAAGCTGAGCCAGTTGAGCGCGGAGAAGGAGGTGGCGTCTCAGAAGTCTTTGAAGCTCAAGAAGCAGAACGAGAACCTCCTCAAGGAGAAGGCCTCCTTGGAAGCCAAATGCGCCGAGCTCCTGGCGGAGAAGCAGTCTGCCACCAAAGCTGTGTGTGAATTGAAGAAGAAGCACGAGTTGGACATTTCTGCCAAAAGGATGCTGGTCCAAGACAAGGCCAAGCTGCAGGGTAGTGCTGAAACCCTGAAGCGAGAGCTCGACCAGAAGATAGAAGAAAACCAAGATCTTGTCCGGTATAAAGCTGAACTATCCAAAATCTTAAAAGAGACCCAAAGTGCCAAAACAGTGTTGGAAAACGAATACTCTGCCTTGCTTCACGCTAAGCAGCTCCTAGCTGCTTCCTTTAAGAGCAGCTCTTCGGAGAAGGAGCTGCTGAGCAAAGAGAAGGTCCACTTGCAAGAAGAATGCCAGAAGCTGAGCAAAGAGCTCAAAACCATCTACAATAACCTGATGATAGAGCGCGAAGGGCGCACGCTGGAGAAGGAGTCCTTTCTGGTAGAGAACACCCAGCTCCATAACGCCATTAGTCACTTAGAGACCGAGAAGGAACAGCTGACACTAAAGAATAAGGAGTTGTTGGTAGAAAGGGACCAGCTGAAACAGGAGAAGTTGAAGAGCGAGTCCAGGCTGGAAGAAATTATGAAGGAGAAAGAGGCCCTCAGTGCCGAGACGGACCAGCTGGCCTCCAGCATTGAGAAGCTGAAGAAGGAGTTTGCGGCTCTGACCGAGTCCAAAGCGGAGCTGCAGGAACTTCACAGCAGCGTCTCCAAGATCCTAGAAGACCTCCGTTCCCGCCACCAAACCAGCGAACTGGAACGGGCTAGGCTGCTTCAAGAGAACGAGACGTTGCTTCTGGAGCAGAAGCACCTCGTCGCCATCAAGGAAGAGATCTTGAAGGAGAAGGAGAAGTTCTCCGAGGACTACTACAAACTGCACGAGGAGATCGCCCTCCTAGCCCAGGCCAACAGTGAGATGTCCGCCAGCCTTTTGGCGGCTCAGAGCAAAACCCAGGCCCTTCAGAAGGAGCGAGATGAACTGGTCTCGAAACTGGAGGGCATTGAGAGTCTGCAAGCCCAGGCGGTAATGCAAAGATTCGAGGTATCGAAACTGCTAAATCAGCACAGTTACTAACACCAATCACTAATGGTTCCTGTGTCTGCACTTAATTTTGCACGATCGAGCACCCTTGGGACACCCTTCTTAATTCTCTCACGGATAGCGAATTAAGTTGATTTGTTTTGTGGGCTGAGGAACACCTCTCCTCAACAGTTGGAGTGATGTGATGGAGGAGTGGAAGAGAGTTCTTTTGGGGTCTGGATATTCAAATCGGCTTTTCAAATTGTGAATAAAAAGGCACGTAGGTGTGAATTGAATACTGACCCATGATTGGAAGTGGACTTATTTTAAATTGGTGTCTTGGAACTGAGGGTTACACCTCCCTCTATCCCTGGTCTAAGTGGAGCAAAAAGACAATTTCTAAGCAGAATTGTTTCCAAAATGAAAGTTGCAAAGCCTGTTACCTTTTTATTCACAATAATAGGGTTTCACCACCAAGAGAGGACAAATTAGAAGGCTGAACTGTTCCTATCTCCATTTCTTAGAACCAGAAGGTTCATTTCAACCGCTATTCTGTCTTAACTCGCCTGATCTTAAAGCTCAGAAGTCTTTATTGAAACGTTTCGATGATCTCTTCTTGTCTCCCAAATTTAGAGGCGTGGTTGTTGCTCCTCTGATTTTTCAATAATCTTTAAAAAAAAGAGTAGAAATCTGTTGGTGGTGAAGCTCTCTCCTGAATTATTAAGAGTAATTTTTTTAAAAAAATAATTCACAAAGATAATTGAATTGGGGCCCACGATTTCACTTGAATGATACTAGCATGGGATTGTAATTTAATTTCTGCATGGAACACTAGATTTAATTGTGCTTCTGGCACGGAAACGCTGGAAGCAGAGAGGTTGGTTTGGCACACCAGTAGCAGCTGGATTTTAGCATAATGCTTTGCTGCTTACTCGAGAGAAATACTATTGACTAGAGCAGCGTTTTCCCCAACCTTGGGAACGTCAAGAAGGGTGGACTTCAACTCTCAGAATTCTCCAGCCTGTTAACGAATTCTGGGAGTTGAAGTCCACCCTTCTTCCAAGTTACCAAAGTTGAAAAACACTGTGTTATAGGGAGGCAATCCGAGGCAGGCAAAGTGGAAACCTGCAGAGAGCTTGGATTACAGCTCCCATAATCCTTAGCCACCATCAAAGTGGCTCAGCTTATGGAAGAGAGAGCTCTGAAGGACACCAGGTTGTCCTCTGATGGTACCACCACCATCTTCACCATCTTTTGCCCAGGACTTGACCTGTTGTTTTTTTTTGTTTGTTTGTTTAAAAAGACTTTATTTTTTTTTTTAAATCGTTTAGACTGCAAAAACAGCAGAAGATGCTTTGCAGATAGTGGAGCAAGTGACCAAAGAGAAAGACATCCTTCATAAAGAGAAGATGGAAATATTGGCCTCCTTCGAAGATTCCAAGCAGGTCAATCACAAGTTGAAAAAAGAGGTAAATAAAAATTAAAATCTCTGCTTTTTCATCCTTCCTTCACTTGGGGAGGAGTCGATGACATGCTGCCAAATGGAACATCCCAAATGCATGAAGGATTCCCGCTCTAGATCCCAAGTCCAATCCTCAGAATTTCCAATGAAGAGAAAGACTCGGATGACAAAGGATAGGGAGGACTTTTCTCCACTTGGTGTAATGGGCAGAGATCCAGGGCACAGCCAGTGGCTACCATTAGCAGGGAGATCCCTGTAGATTCCAGAAAAGGGATCTCTCCCCTTGTTCTGTTAAGAAAACGAGACTCCTGGTGAAAGAAAAGTTGTTGCATTTATCAAATCCACTACGTGGCTTCCAGGCAGATGGCTAAATCCATCCCCACCTCCCAACCCCATTCTTAATTCTTCTAGAGTAGCCAGAGATTATCTGTTATGAAATAAAATATATCTCCCCCCCCCCCGGTTTATGGACAGAGAAGACTAAGAGGCTGTTGACAAGACCTCGCAGGAAAAAATGAAAACACGGGGACCCCAAACCTTGCTTTAGATTTTGCAGACCCCCTAAGGAGATACTATTTTTTCAGAATTAGCTTGTTTCCCACTAAGTAGGCTGTCCTAGATCCTCACGCAGAGGCCCTGGCCCACATCTGACACAGCTGCTTTAGCAGAAATGAAAAAAAGGGTCAAGACAAGACTCGGTCAGCGTTCTTCACTCCTGGGAGTTAATTCCCCCCCCCCTTTTTTTAAAAAAATTTCCCTTTCCCCTTTCAAGTTGGACACTCTTAAAGAAAGCCAGCGAAAGAATCGAGAGGCGCTGACGAAGTCTCAGGAACGTCTGAACACCGAGAGCCAAAACCTGGAAGAACTTAGAAAAGAACTGTGAGTCTTTGTTCTACTTCTGGGAGACTTTCGTTCTGGGGGGGGGGGCAGGGGGAAAAAAGTTTATTCGTGGAATGGGAAGGAGAGGAAATGCAGAGAAAAAAGCCAGCATTCCTAAAGCTCTGTGTAGAACAAAAATAGCCAGAATTTGCAGCTGCTTCTGGGTGTAAGAGAGAAAACGGGGCCGCATTTTAAACAGAGATTGCTATTTTGGTCTCAACTGGCTGAAGAGGGGACATTTTCCCCCAGTGTTCCTTTGTTTTTCCCCTGAGTATTTTCTCCATCATGAACAAAATGTCAAGGAAATGCCAAACATGCTTTTTTATTATTATTATTATTAATGGCAGATTTTATGCAAGAAGTCTACCGGCACGGGACTATCCAAATGACGTATAATTAAACCACGTTAATTGTGCGTTTTTGTTATTTTAGGGGTCAAATCAAAAATGTTAATCGCAAGCCATAGGAGAAATGGGCTGTTTGATGCTTATTCTAAGATTATTATGGGTGTTTTATCTCTCGATTCGTGGAAGCGGAAAACTCACATTTTCATAGATGGTTATGAGATTTATAGACGAAACTAAGCTTTTTTTTACACTGCAGTAGAAGCGGTCCTTGACTTAACGACCGGAACTTCTGTTGTTAACCGAGACAATTACACAAGTCAATTTTTCAGTACTGTTGCACTGAAAGTTACAACAGTACTGAAAAAGACTAGAATTACAGCCCACGCAATGCCTTTTTTCTTAATGAACTCAGCTGTGGCTCTCCCTTTATGGTTTACACTATACAAAATACAGTTTTAGTCTCAAGTGTGTGTGGGCAGCCTATGCCAAAAATAAAATAATTCTTTTTTTCTACCAACATACGCTTGAAAAGCCTGACCTCCTAAAATCTCTTCTAAAAATAGATAGCTTGACGGATGCGCGCATGCAACTCCTGCACACAGCAGGCAGGAAAGCAGATGGTAATCCCTGCTGGCCTTCTTTTATTAGGTTTTAGCGCAGGCTTTTCAAATCAAACGGTTCCCGCACGCTCACGCCGGCCAATCTGGAGAGGGAGAAATCTAATTTTGCAGCGGATTAATTCACTTACAGGAATGTAGGACACCGTGATGCAGCTGGTAGGACCCAGGGAGACGTTTGTCTCGAAAAAATATCCGAGTTTTCCCGCCTTGCCTACCGGGCGGGAGATGCTTAGGGACCCCAGGTCCTATTCACACAGTTTTTGTACTAGTCAGTGACTTTTTGTCTACCACAAGAGGAACGCTCCCTCCAAAGCGTGGGGGGGTCACCAGGCTCAGCTGGGGCATTGCGGTTGCGTCCATGAGCCTGTGTGAACGGGATGTTTAGTGAATGGAGCTTTTATGAACCAGCCCCCCTGCCTGCTTGGCAGAATTGATGCCTGCCAGCCAAGACAGCGGGCACTGCCAGATTGTCCTCGGATCCAGAAGCCGTCACAGGGAGCTTCCTATCCATCCGATAACGGAGACTTGCAAGAGCATTTAGGATTTCCTGGGATGGCTGCTTCGTGATCTGTTTCCAAGGGGGCGACAGAAAGAACGAGCAAGCCCTGACCCCTTGGTGATTGATACTAGACCGAGGAGACGGAGGGAGGGTGGGTGGGCTGTTTCTCTATCAGCCGTCTCGTCAAACCGTGACAAACCATGACGCGGTTTGCAAGCCGGTCTCTCTTCCCCCGTCTCGCCCCCTTCCCTTCCATCCTCCTTGTTCCTATGGTAACCCTGTGCTGCCTTCCCCATCTCTTCCAGAGAGGTGCTCAAACTGGCAGAAGAGGAGAAGTCCCACCAGCTTGCCGTCTTCCAGGAAGAGAACCTCAAACTTGCTAAAGAGCTGGGAAAAGGAGACCTCGCCAGTCACCAGAAGGTAGGCAGATGTTTCAGCCTGGGGCTTCTCGCTTGGGTGGGGAAGGGCGGGGCAGAGAGTCTAGAGGAGTCCCTGAGATGCTGGGCACGTGGATGTGGGCGAGAGGAAGAGGAGGGCAGGGCTGCCAAAGGGGTTTGGAGAAGGTGCCTTCTGCGGGGCCAATTCCAGGGCAGAACTTGTGTTGTTAGGAGGAATCTCACTCGTGAAGCTTTTAGGGAGGTGACTACGTTCACCAGCAAGGGGAGATTAATTTTGGCTGTGCAAAGCAAGCCCTTTGTTTTGAGAGACTCGGATACCACCTCGACCCAAAACTGGGGGCGGGATGTGTGTGTTTGCAGGACTCCCTGCCTGCACCTCCTAAATATTTGAGGACGTTAGCATCCAGAATTCCCACCATAAATAGATTTTCGGTGGAGTGATTTTTTTTTTCCCCTGGAGCATCTTTGCAAACCAAGTTCATTTTCTGGGGTACACCCAGAATCACTGTTAATTTGCCCCGGAAGGAAATGGCTTTTTAGGAAGATTATGTTGAAAAAGTGGAGGAAAAAATCCCTGCAACTGCGCTGTGAGTCTTGCTTTGGGGACCATGAATGAGTGTTGTATTCAACCTCGGCGCCTCGAAGATGTGTGGACTTCAACTCCCAGAATTCCCCAGCCAGCAGTTTAACTGGAACTTAATATGTGGTCCTGATTCTTTGTGCCTGACAAGAGGGTTATTTTAGATTCTGGCATGTTCTTGGTCTAATAGGATAGAGGTTTCAGATCTTTAAATTGTTCATTATCTTTTATTTTGGTGTTTTTACACAAGCAATAGACGTCTTAGGGGGCTTAAGGTTTGAAGATGCCCCCTGCAAGGGTGGAAGAAATAAGATTAAAAAAGGGTCTTCTAAAGCTAGTTTTTAATAATAAAAACATGTATGACAATTAAGGAGTAAGGCAGTATTCTATTCCTTCGTTTGTGTGTTGTGTTGTTATTGCTGTGGTTGAGTTTAGTCAGGGCTACCATGTTTTGTTTCATGCTTTTAACTCTATTTTTGGCTATTTTAACCTGCTGGAGTCTTGTGGAGTGGGCGGCATTATAAATACAAAATTAATAATGAATGAAATTATAAGAAGGAAATGCTGGTTATACAACAAGGTTGCCAAAAGCCTTAGAAGTGGCTAAATAAAATCCTTTTTTCCCCCAAAAAAAGATGTGGAATAGATTCAAGAGCCCAATAAATTTCCAAAAAAAGGTACATAGTCTGAAAGGGGGGCCTTAATGGGCAGAGTAAAAATCCTCTCTTTTTTTTTCCTTCCTTCCTTCCTTTTTTGGTCTTCCAGCTGGAAGAAGAGAGATCGGTCCTCAATAACCAGCTCTTGGAGATGAAAAAGAGGTGAGTTTATTTGCACAGCTCTGGGGCGTGTAAGCAGTTAGAAAGAAAGAAAAAATAAGAGAACATAAATCTCAAATAGAATTCTTTGATCCCCGCTACTATTCCGCGCTTAAAATAATCTTAGCATCGCACCTTGGCTGTTCAAAACGTCTTCGGCAGGTGGACTATTACATTAAAAATACATCAAAGCAGTTGAGCCCTACCCATACCTAAAATGTGGATGGAAAGGTGAATTTCTGGAAACTCAATACAATTTAGCTCATGCTGAGTACTTAGTGGATCTCTTCACTTCTCTGCACTTAATTCTGAGCCATTTTTAGCATTCCCGGGGAGGGGAGGGATTTCCATGGAGACCTGTCAAATCCTCAAAGCCCTCTCTGTGTCCACTTCTAAATTCTTCATGGAGAGTTTCTCTTCCCCCCCCCAAAAAAAAATCATTGGTAAACTTAGAAGCCTGAAAAGGAACCCCTCACCCCAGGACATTGTCGTTCAGGAAGACCCACTTCGCTCAGGAAAGGACCCCCAATTATTGGTCCTTATTGCTGTCTGAAAGCAGGAGACTGTGAGTTCTAGTTCTTTCCTAGACACGGTGCCAACTAGGTGCCCTTGGGCCTGTCCCTCCCTCTCAACCCTAGGAAGGGGAAGGGAAGGGCAGCCCCCTTCTGTAAAAAGTTTGCCAGGGAAATTGCAGGGATTAGTCAACTCAACTCAAAATCGACTGAAAGCACCAAACATATATTTGCCATACCAAATACAGGGAGTCCTCGGGTTACGACGGTTCATTTAGTGACCGTTCAAAGCTACAACGGCACTGAAAAACGGGACTCAGGACCGTTTTTCACACTTAACGACCATTGCAGCACCTTCATGGTCACGTGATCAAAATCCAGGCGCTTGGCAAGCCCAGGACTTACCTGTATTCTATTCTTTGAAACTTCTTTATTTGACCACGGTTTTATGTGTAGGCTAGGAGGGAACTGTTGACTGAAGTTGTTGCGCCTCAAATATCTGCCTCTGAGGACCTTCTCGGGGGTCTTATCCTATAGGGTCTCCTCATGCAGGGAGTTGGACTGGATGACCTCCAAGGTCCCTTCCAACGCTGTCATTCTAGGATTCTAAGCTCTTGATCTGGCCTTGGCAGGCAACAGGCAACTTTTGCAAGCAGAGGGAGGGGTGTCACGCTGCCCCCTCTTCCTCATCACCCTCCCTACCATAAGGACACACACACACACACACACACACACACACACACACACACACACACACACACTTTCTCTCAGCCCCTGAGTTGATCCTTTGGAAGGTGGAGGTAAGAAGCCGAGGGCGAATTTGGTGTTATTTCGGCTCCTTAGACTCGCTGTGGGTTTGCTGACTGTCTGACTTGGCT